TTGCAGGTGCTGGTCAGACCACTGAAAATGTGTAGTAAGTCTTATGATGGATACAACAAACAGTTACTTATAGCCAAGACAAAGAGCATTATTAGGTTCAGTGAGTCGTTTAATTTTAAATCCAGCATGTGCTATTTCTACCACCTTAACTCAGATTTGTGCAGCATTTTCTGTGTAGTCTTGTCTGGGTTTTAATCTTTGAAAACTGCTTATGTGGTCATAGTGACAGGGTTAATTTTTTTATTCCTAARTTTTGATAACTTCACATAAATGGCTTCATTCTGAAGGCCCATGGTGGCTGCGAGGTGTCACTGTGATTCCATTTGAAGGTTTGGGGTCAACAGGGTGTAGACTCAGATCTCAACAAAGRTAATTTACTTCTCTATCATTATTTGCCATGGCATTTTAGACTCTGACTCTCACATCTCACAGAAGAGGTGTTTTAGAGAGGTTACGGACTCAAGGACCTGCAGACAAATCAACCACTCTCATTTTCCGCAGCAGGTGGGATGGGGGGAATATGCTCTGTTTGTTCCCTTTTATAYTGCAGGTTAGTCTTCACCACTTTAACCGTGATCCTACAAGAGACAGRACCCTGAGTAAATTAAAGAAAACATTAACACAGTGTCAATACAGTTTGTACCTTTATATGAGTCAATGCTTTAACATATACGGTGTACAGGTACACTGACTTTTACAGCAGCCTCTCCTATTTGCAGCTCCATTCCAGGAGCAGGCCAGTCTTGTGTATATTGATGATGCCAATGCAGTGCTGGAGGTGATGACAAACACCTGCATTTCAGATGCTACAGGACMAAACAAATTGGAACAAATCCCCCCTCAAAACAGTATTGAGTGTATTATCTGATGCCAAGGGCTGCACATAAGTTTGCTTTCACAGCATAAGATGAGACTTAAAATAAGCCAAGTTGATTAAGTGAAAGCTGTTTTGAAAGGAATAGCAAGAAGTGAACATTCTGTCTATTATAAGAAGAAATTGAAAACTGTTCAAGAGACTGGTGTCTTTTAACAAACATCTAGTCTTACTATGTACTTCAAAAAAAAGTATGTCCATTTTTTTCYATATGCAGTATAACACAGTATCTTTCAAAGACGTACTTGATCTGTAAGAAATTAAAATTCATGTTCATGCATTCAAGCATATACAGCTACAAAAGCAGCTTTACTCACATGGCAACCTATTAACAAGGAAGCTGCCCTCTAGACTTAAAGTTTTGAAATCAGAAAGTGGCTCCTTTTTTGGAAGAGAAAGGCTCAATATGTCATGTATCTGGAAAAGTTGCTTCCCTTTTTGTTGAGATCTGCCCTTGAGAAAGAAAACTCCTCAGTCTGAAGGATGGACAGTGTTGCTCCAAAGGGCATGATATGGTGGGAACATCTGAGTAACTAAAAAAACATCTAGTCTGCCAGAGCAAAGCAGCCAAAAACATAGGGAAAAAGTTATTTATGGCTTCCTGAACATCTAAAAACCACATATAAAATAAGCAGTATGAGTGTTGTCCTTAGTTTTGTGTGTGCTTGCCAGTGTTCGTAGGGATGCACCTGGCAAGAACAAAAAATATGTCCTTCCCCTTGTACATGACACGTTCTGACCCCTCTGCAGTTACACAGCTTTGTCTCTTTCCCCTTCTGTTCACATTCATCTTTGACTGCTCCCACAGAACAAATCTTGGCATTTTTCATATTAGCAGGTAGCTATGTTGTTCTTGCAGCACAGCAAGAAAGCAACCAGAATAATAGTTGTACAAAAAATATTTGTACGAAGTTGTACAGTAGTTGTGCAAAGGTGATCTAAAATGTGCCTTTTGAGTGACAGTTTACCCCTGTGAACAGTAGAAGTTTACGAGCAGCTCTAAAAGTTTTCACTGTTGAGATTTCATTTCACAAACACATTTTATCACAAGGAATAAAAACTTGGAAGGGCCATTGGTTTCATTTCAACTAAAAAGCCTGATTTAAAATGCTCTCCTTCAAATAAATGTGTTTCATAAACTTCAGCTGCCTGATTTCTCTTTACATGTTGTTTATGTGAATGGCAAAAACTACACAAGATTTACAAGGCTGGCRCCATGCTCTATATTGCTGCATGGCACACCCGTTGTCAGCTCCAAGGTCACAGCTTTATTAAAGGATCAAGATTTACAATAATGTTAACAAGAGCATGAATGCCTTCACAGACACCTTCCTCTAGTTTACTTCCCTCAAGTCACCTGCACCATTTCTCCCCCTGCCAAAACTACTAATCGATAAATACTGCAGTCCCCTGAACAAAGTTCAAATGGATCTATCATGTTGCTTTAGTAATAAATCTTTGCTTGTGTTTAACACCTGCTTTCAAGACATAACCTTTTTTACCTGCAGTAATTAAACTTTCTAACAGTCTTATTTAGTGATTGAAACCTGCTCCCTTTTTAAACACTGAAAAATTGAGGCATAGGGCCAAGCTTTGCTGAAGTCATACAAGAAGAGTAAAAAGACTTGGAAGCCTTTSTCTGTCAGCCTCCTGTGTGCCGAGACTGAAGGCCATGCTGCCTGTACCTCAGTGGTAGTTGTGCACCATTTGAACTGAGGCTTCCGTAATTCTTCCTTTTCCATGTACTGTCATGGCCTGGCTGGGGTGCAYCTGAAGCTGATACTCAGCTGGGGTGTCATCCTCACTGACACAAACAGAACTACTCTGCAGGCTATTTACCACTTCAGATGTCGTTCTGTGTCTTCCTCTGGCTGTACCTGCTGTGTTACTGCCACCAACCACTGCTAATCAACCATGATGACCCAGATTGACCATTCCAGCTTCCTGCTTCATTTCATGGAAAAAGATAATCACTTTAAATAAGACAAGGTTTTGCCAGCCCAGATAACCCTCAGCAGCAGTTATGAGAGCAAGATAGGAGCAATCTCCTGAGCTAGCATAGCCACAGTTACCAGAGTACATTTTACCACAACACCTCAAATTCCAGGCCTGTCTTCTCCTGGGACATCCGTGCCCAAGGAGTTCTGCCTTTTCCACCAGATTTTATCCCAACCTGAAGCATGGGCAGCAGTACTTAACTCACTTTGGGCCCAAGGCTTTGGAAGTGCTTCCCTTCAGAGTTTCAGATGTCCTGCTCCTTAGAGGCATGCAAATTTTGTCTCCATGTGTTCTAAAAAGAAGGCATTTAGGGCAGTCACTGACTTTGTTCTGCTGCCTCTGCTTTTGCTTAGGAAGATAATAACATTAATAAGTAATACTAATTGCCACAGAACAAGAACATACAACCGATATCCTTCACAGAATCACAAGATGGTTCATCTCTCATCTTCTCCTGAACAAAGAACTTAGCTTCAGCTTCACTCCCTGTAGTTCCCTCTCCCTTCCAAACCACAAGCCCAGTGTTGTGGGCATTGCCTCTTGTGATCATTGCTGCTGATCACTAGCAGCTACAAGAAACAACTCTAATGGATGTCTAAAGACTGAAAGCATATGCAAACCACAGGTCTTAATGTTTTGCAGTCTTTCCCAAAAGTTTAACCTCAGGCTAGAGAGAAAGGGGGATCTCTCCACTTAGTGATCTCATCTGGACATCTAGCTATGGTACATACAGCTGCAGTAAAGGAGACAGGGGAAACCAAGATGAAGGATCTAKTTCCTCTCCTCCCTGACACTGGAACAGATTGCCCAGAGAAATGGTGGATGCTCCATTCCTGGAAGTRTTSAAGCCCAGGTTTGGAGGGAGCGCCAAGCAACCTGGACTAGTGAAAGGTGTCCCTGCCCAAGGGCATGTTGTAACTAGATGATCTTTAAGGTTCCTTCCAAGCCAAACCATTCTATAATCTTTAAGCACAAAAATGAGGCCTAGCCTGAATCTTAGATTTGTTATGGTTACAACTTTCAAAAAGTAATATAATTGATACACACTCTACAAATATGTTTATTTTTAAAGCATTTCCAATAATTTGGCTTTTGTTTATATGTTATGTTTTATGTTATGTCCAGATGATGTCAGTGCCAGATGTGGTTAATAGGTCAAAGTCTTCTCTACCTGGAGAAATCTGTTGGTATCACTATACCATTAGATTATTTTTCTTAAAAGTACTTATTCTGGAAGAAAAGCACACAGTCATAGCACTGAATTACGATTTTTTTTTTGTCAGAATCATTCAGGGGGCTGAAAACCTGCCTCAACTCTCAGTAATACCACTAAAACTACTGCATAAAATCACCGCTAGTGCCAGTCACAGAATTCCATCACCAATGAGGTTGGAGAAGACCTCATCAAACCCAGCCTATGACCTAACATCACCATGTCAGCTAGACCATGGCATTAAGAGCCATATCCTGTCCTTTCTTCAACACCCCAGAGGCACTGATGCCACCACGTCCCTGGGAAGCCCATTCCAGTGATTAATCACTCTTTAGAAATTCCTCCTGATGTCCGACCTAAACCTCCTCTGGCACTGCTTGAAGCTAATTCCTCTTGTCCTATCAGTTGTTAAGTGAGAGAAAAGGCCGATCCTCACTTAACTACACCCTCCTTTCAGACGAAGAGCGAAAATATCACCCCTGAGCCTCATTTTCTCCAGAATGAACAACCCCTGAGCTTGGGGTTGGGTTGAGGGAGCTCAGCCGCTCTTCAGAGGACTTGTGCTCCAGACCCTTCACCAGCTCCACTGCCCTTCTCTGGACTCGCTCCAGCACTTCACCGTCCTTCCTGGATTGAGGGGCCCAGAACTGAACACAGGATTTGAGATGCGGCCTGACCGGTGTCGAATACAAGTGATCTGGACGATTTCGGTCCAGAAATAGCCSCGAGSGTGAGCGCTGTCGCTGTGCAAAAGCTGCTCGGGAGCGCCGCTGTTCCTCGGCAGGGCCGCGGGCGGGCGGCGGGGCGGGCRCAGCGCGGTGGGGGCGGAGCGGGGAAGCCTCACGGACAGGGCGGAGCGGCGGCCGTGTCGTAGCAGCCCCGSCGGGCCGGGAGGCGATCGCCATGGAAACCCCGGCCCCGCCCCTGCCCCCCCGGGTGCCGCCGGGAGCGCGGCCGGAGCTGCCGGGTCCCTCCTCCCCGGGCAGCGCCAGGTAGAGCGCGGGGCGGGGGCCGCTCCGGGCCGGGCGGGAGGAGCCGCGAAGGGCGGCTGGCGGAGCGCAGGCCCGGCTCGCTCCGCTGCCCAGCCGCAGCCCGGCCCGGATCCCACCCAGCGCCGGTGCCCCCGGCCATCCGCTCCCGGACCGCGGCGGCGCCCCCCCGGAGCGAGCGGGGCCGGGCTCTCCTCAGCCCGCCAGGGCGGGGCTTGTTCCTCGTCCCTGATCCTGACGGGAAAGGCCCTTACGTGTTGCCATGGCCGAGGCGGCCGCGGCGGCCCCGGCGTGCTTCAACGAGGATGATTTTTACTGCCCGGTGTGCCAGGAGGTTTTCAAAACGCCCGTGAGGACCGCCAACTGCCAGCACGTGTGGGTATCCCGACCCCCCCCGCTCCTTCCCAAGCCTTTTCCTCGCCTCCTCCGGCTCTCCGCCTTGTGCTCCKCTGCTCCCCCCGCTCCCGGCGCACGGACCCTCGGCCTGGAGCCGCTGGCGGTGAGGATGCGAGCCCAGTGGTGCCCCAGCCTCCCCTCGCCTCTTTCTTTTGTAGCCGATGAGGACCGGTCATTTAGGAAAAGCCKCCCCCTCCCCCCTCCGAGTGTCTGGTCGGCGGTGGGGGAGTTKTGCTGCGCTGTCTGACCTAACTCGCGGTTTTTAACTTCATGGTTTTCCCCGTTCCTTTTCGAACAAGGACGGTAGTGTGAGTTGTTCTCTCTTTTCAGTTCATCTATTCAGCATTTTTTTTTTTTCCAGGGGGACGTTTGATTACAACGTGCTACTTTGTAGAAAAGCAAAATAGCTTTGGCAGCTGGTGTGTAAGGAAAGAGCTGCAAAAGCTGGTGAACTGAGGTCTCTGGAAACGCGTGCTGAATGAAGCTTTGCTGTGGTTTTGGCTCTGCTTAAGGACAATAAACAGGAATTACACTGATAAGATTGTYCAAAATCACGTGCTTGCTGCACCATTTAATATCTCATTAGTGATCAATCTGGTGTGCAACTCGGTAATACTAAWCAATAAATAATAGGAGTTTTACCTAGAGTGCATTGCCAAGCTCCTCTGCTTTCCATATATTTCATTGTAAACACTATTATTTCATTTTTCTTTTGAATATAAAACTTGTATTTGGTTAACTGTTACTCTGATATCTCTGTTTTTGGTTTTTTTCCTAACAATCACCCAGCTCTCTTCAAGGACAAAGTATCTTAACTCTATATTTTGCTAACCTGTGTTTGTGGTAACTTTTCAATTTAGGTTTTGCAGGAAGTGCTTCTTGACAGCTATAAGAGAAAGTGGAACACATTGTCCTCTCTGCCGGGGGAGCGTGACTAAAAAAGAAAGAACGTATCCCAAAAGGGCTCTAGATGTTGAAAACAGTATGAAGAAAGCTTCTGGGGGCTGTAGATGCTGTGAGAAGCAGGTAGAGTAAAACTTTTAAAAAAGCTGAATAAATTTTTTGTGTTTTTGTCCAGACACGCCTTTGCTGTGTGTCATTTTCGTCTTGGAGTTGAAGAGCCTGTAGCAGTTTGAATTTAGTTTTGTATGGCTTGTGCATATACTGGGCATGCAGTGCCTGCTAACTGTACCTACGAGGTGTAAACTGAAAGAGCATCTTGAATTGTCAATAAAGGCATTTTAAGTGGAGTGCCAGTTTGTCTCCAAAAACTGGAAAAAAACTCGATATACCTATAAAACTGGCAAAAGGAAAGTTAAAGAGCTGARCATGAAAATTGCAGATATATAGAAAACCTCAGAAACTTTCATTATGGAAATGTAACTGCTTCGAGCTGCCATAAAATTGAATTTAAAACCAAAAATATCTGAGTTGATTACTTGCAGTACCCGCATGATCAATCATATGTAATTTCCTCCTTGGCCATCAGTCTTTTTATATTCCCTTCATTTCCTTTCTAAAGGGGTCATTATTTTTGGAACACTGGGTGAAATCTTGACCCCCACTGAAACCAGGAGTAATGTCTTTTTTGATATAAACAGATGCAGGATTTCAGCCATACTTTCTAGTTATAACAAAATGCATGAAATCCAGGTAGTCTATGTTGGTTTCATTTCACTTGGGACTTCTGCCAGTGTGAAGATCAGCACTAATGGAATCCTCAACTGCTTGCTTTGTTCCACGTGACTCATCAGGATGAAAAGTGGGGAGAAAGAAACTGATAGCAAGTTAGTAAACTGGAAGGAAGAACCAAACAGAATAGCTTGAATGGAATTTAGGCAGGGCATGTGAGATACAATCTTGTTCAGCATCTAGRCTGTGAACACCTTCTGACAGTGCTGTTGGACCTGAAATTCAGATTTAGGGCATGTCCAACACAGTTGTCTTCTGATGAATGTAAGGAACTCATTCTCTTAATTTGAATTAAAGATGAGTAGGCAGCCCTAAATTGGTGTTCACCTTTTTTTCTCCTTCCCCTGTCAAAAAGAAAATGTTCATTTGCATGAGGTAACAGCAGGCCAGAGCAGACTGAATGAGCAGTGATGCTTATCCCATCCTCACAGCCCTTGTCTGTTATAGCTCATCAGCTGTCGATCTTGGGTATGGGAGGYGTAGTTTCAGTTGGATGGTGTTCACTAGAATCTTTCATCCCTGGGAGAGCTCTCAGATATCCAGCAGCTTGAGAGGCAATGATCTCCAGTCTCACAGAGTGACACTGGCTCTGAGGAGAGAGGAACTGGAGATGTCCTGTTAATGAAGAAAATGTTCAAGCTCCAAAGGGAGACACAAGTTTTGGTTTTTGCTGCATATGATGTCTTTATAATTCCTGCATGCATTGCTTTCTGTTGGCAGAATTATCTCTTCCTTGTGTCCCTGGATTGTTTACTATGATTTCAGTAATTTGGCATTTTATTTTCAGGTTAGATTTTCATGGATGAGACAGCATTATAAAACGTGTAAGAAGTATCAGGATGAATATGGTGTTTCTTCAATTATTCCAAACTTACAGATTTCCCAAGATGCAACAGGGAACAGGTAATCAAGGTGTTCTGTGTGTAACAGTGCATCTTCTTTCCCCATGCCCTCACCCCATGGCAAGTATTTTTTTCCAGGGCAATCCTTCTTTTTGCAGTAATTATTGTCCATATTTTTGTGCTTCAAAATAGGAGTTTTTTCAGGTCTTATTCTTTACTCTTAGCAGGCAGAAGAACACCTTTCTGCATGATGGCTTTGAAATGTCTTCTTAGGAGACTCTCCTAAAAAGTATTTAATATTTGTAGCTTGCTTTCCKTGCCTTGGCAGCATTTGAGCAGCTTACCTTTGTAATGTGTTTCATAATATTTACCTCTGGAGAAGTTCCTGTCGATTTTTATTCCCCCTCCCCTTTCCTAAGTTTGTTTTAGTGGGTATCCTGTTTCCAGACATTACTATGTAAGCTTGTGCTTTCTGATTGAATTTCTTTTAAACAGATCTCTTATGAAATATATAAGGAMCTCCAGTATGTTACACACCATAAAATCGAATGACACTTGCCATTTGTTTTCAGGCAGTAAAGCTAACCTTTTCTTCATATATTCTCACTGATGGTAGAGGTTGGGAATTTTTGGTCATTTTTGAAAAGCCTCTTTATGTGTTCATTTCACAGAACTTTATTATATATACCCTATCCTTTATTTACTTTGTTTTGCCATTGATTTTCGATTTTTAGCAGTCTAAACTTCTCTATGTTTGATTTTCAACACATCTGTATATTGAAAGTTGAAGCTGTTATGGAATTAGCTGCAGCAATGTTTCACCAAATTTACTTTCTAAAATGTTCTGCTTTATTCTTACTTTAGGAAAAAGGTTTATTTTGTGCTCAGCATAAGAAAACTTACCTTGCTGTAGTTGAAARTTCCAATTTATTTGTGTGTATACATTAAAGTTAAAGTTGAATATTTACACCTTCCCAAGTAAAAAAACCTTAAAAAATTCTACCTGTCTTACATTCATCTAGTTCACAATGCTTCTTGAGTTACTTGGCTGTCACCTGCATTGCTGTTCTTGTTGACTAAATGTTTGTTGTATTACACACCATTTTCCTATAAAGTTGTGTACTATGCCACCAAGCATCAGCCATGGTAATTAAATTATCCAGAGAGATTCCAGTTGACTGGAAAGTAGCAAATGTAATGATCCTTCTACCAGAAGGATCAGAAGGGTGATCCAGGGAACTACAGGCCTGTCAGACTGACTTGGTGTATCAGGGTGGGTCATGGAGCAGATCATCCTGAGTGCCATCATGTGGCATGTGCAAAGCTACCAGGGGATCAGGCCCAGCCAGCGTGGATTTACAAAAGTTAGGTCCTGGTTGACCAACCTGATCTACTATGACAAAGTGATCCTCTTAGTAGATGAGGGAAAGACTGTGGATGTTGTCTGTGTAGGCTTCAGAAAAGYATTTGACCTGGTCTTCCACAGTATTCTCCTGGAGAAGCTGGCAGCCTGTGGCTTGGATGGGTGTGTTCTTCACTGGGTGAAAAAACTGTCTGGATGGCCAGGCCCAGAGACTGGTGTGGAATGGAGTTACATCYAGTTGGCACCTGGTCACCAGTGGTGTTCCCCAGCGTTCAGTTTGGGGCCACTCCTGTTTAATGCCTTCATTGATGATTTGGATGAGGACATTGAGTGCTCCCTCAGTGAGTTTGCAAATGACAGCAAACTGAGTGGGAGTGTTGATTTGCTGGAGGGCAGGAAGGCTCTGCAGAAGGATCTGGACAGGCTGGATCCGTGGGCTGAGGTCAGTTGGATGAGGTTCAACAAGGCCAAGTGCTGCCTCCTGGACTGGGATCACAACAACACCAGGCAGTGCCACGGGCTGGGGGAAGAGTGGCTGGAAAGCTGCCCAGTGATAAAGGAGCTGGGGGTGTTGGTTGGCAGCAGCTGAGCCATGATCCTGCAGTGTGCCCRGAAGCCAATGGCTTCTTGGCCAGYATCAGAAATAGTGTGGGTAGCAGAACCAGGGTGGCGATGGTCCCCCTGTACTCAGCACGAGGGAGGCCACAGCTGGAATCCTGTGTTCAGTTCTGGGCCCCTCAGTCCAGCAAGGACATTGAGGGGCTGGAGCAAGTCCAGAGAAGGGCAGTGGAACTGGGGAAGGGTCTGGAGCACAAGTCGTGTTGAAGAATAGCTGAGGGAGTTGACGTTGTTTGTCATGGAGAAAATGAGAGTCCCTTGTTGCTCTCTACAGCCACCTGAGATGAGATTGTAGTGAGTTGAGGGCTAGTCTCTTCTGCTGTGTCTCGAAGTGAAAGAATGAGATGAATTTATCTTAAACTTCACCAGGTGAGGTTCAGATTAGATAGTAGATTTTTTTTTTTTTTTTTTTTTTTTTTTTTTTTTTTTTTTTTTTTTTTTTTTTTTTTTTTTACTGAGACAGTGGTTAGACATTGGAATAAATTGGCCAGGGCAGTGGTGAAGTCACCATCTCTGAAAGTTCCAAGAGGTGTCTTGATGTGGCACTTGGGGATATGGTTAAGGGTGATTACRGTGRTGCTGATTTGGCAGTTGGACAGATGATCTTGAAGGTTTCTTTTAACCTTAGTGATTCTGTAAATMCTGAGACATACCTTGATCCAAAAGAAAAACTGTGCAGGTTAGAGTATGTACCATTGTATGTTGCTTTGAAATTCATGGGTCTTAATGCATTTCCCTCCATGTCCAATATTGTTAAACTTTTAAAAATAGTTGATTGTGGAGTAGAATACTCTAAATTTTCATTGGATTTTTTTTTCTTCTTTTAAAGTAGCAGGAGTGATGCAATATCTGATCCTGGTGAGATGGCTAATAATCAAATACTGCAAGGAGAACCAAGGTAGGCTGCTTACTTGTCTACAGTTGTTAYTAAAATAGATTGAGATAGACACAGTGCAAACTTCTACTAACTCAAAAAACAAAACACAAAAAACTGACCCGAAACCACCAGGAGCTGTATTATAGAATCCTGTAGTTGGTTGTACATTTGTATCCGTATGTTAGAATTTGGTTTTTTTAGTACTTTCCTGAAGGATTTGCACTAAAAGGTGTTATAAAAAAGCAAAACCAGGATGTAGCTGCARTGGGAACAAAAGAAGCCCAAGTCTCAGAAGAGTGCATTTAAGCATACCAGTTGCAAATGTACTTCAGATTTGCAATTTGGTAGTAGCACTGGGGCTCCTTTAKGTCTGCTGCTATGTCAGTGGGGCTGTGGAGGTTTTTTTGTTGTTATCAAAGCAAGGGAAAATAATGAGATCGCTCCATTCATATGCTTTCTGAACACCACTTCTGAAACTCTTTTCTGTTTAATACTGTTGTATTTCTGTTTACAGTGGACATCCAACCTTCAAATGCCCCCTGTGTCAGGAAGCCAATTTTACCAGACAGCGCTTGCTGGATCACTGTAATAATAGACATCTTTATCAGATCGTTCCTGTGGTAAGTAGAGTTGCTTATGTATATTCCTTAAGCTACTTTCAYTGTAATTATGTGGACAGTTTTAAATGTGCACTCTCTTTTCTATATCTCTAACAATCACTGTGGTTTGAGAAAGACTGACAATGTACTTCATGCAGTGCATTTAAATTGGGGAGTGACTTTGATGTGAAAATGTTTCATGTCCATCCTGCTGGTTCTAAGGCATTTTGACTTGGCTCTCTCATTTATCTTGATGTGAAACAGGCTCAGTTTTTGAGCCTGACGCTTAAATCTTCTGTGGTAGTTCAGGTCTGTTCAGTACCAATCTTATTTGGTAGTTCAGGTCTGTTTCTATAGAATCCCATTTGTAACGTAACTATTGTTTCATGTGAAACCCACAGTTATTTGAAAAGTAATCTAAGGTAACAAATGTGTCTGAAGGAGAAAAACCTGTTTGTTTTCTGTTATTTTCATCTATATAGGGTGTGTTATTTTTTCTTATGGCTTGCTTGGTCATCTCAATTGTGTGTAAATTCTCCCAAACAATAAGTAGGGTGCAGTAATCACTTTCTTTTCTAAGTTGACTCAGACAGATATGATAATCTTCCACTTCTAAGAGAAACACTTTAGAAATCAATGAAGTTGAAGCGTAGTTTTTGAATGTTACACAATTGAGGAAAAGTAAGCTTAGTATATTTGATGTTAATGTTTCCTATTGTATTTTGGTTGTGGATGAGTAATAGACTAGTTATTCCTGTATAACATGTCTTTAATTCATTCTGTGTTGCCAATAAACTTTTTTTTTTTTTGTYTCTTCCCCTCCCCTTCCAAATTCAGATCTGTCCTATTTGTGTATCTCTTCCTTGGGCAGATACTAACCAGGTTACTAGAAATCTTGTTAGCCATCTAAATCTAAGACACCAGTTTGACTACGGCGAGTTTGTGGTAAGCTTTTTCTTCTTTGATGTGTCAAGGAATAAATGGTAACATTTTTTTCTAAAAATCAAAATGCCAAATAAAAATTTTTTACCAAACTTCTGCTCTGGACATGCTATGTTCCTGTCCTATATGGAACTTGGAAGCAGACCTGTCTGTTCTTAAACTTTGTTATCTGTACATAAAGKGCTACTGGGAGTAGGTCTTAACTCCGTCAGTAGTTAAACTGCTCCAAGCTGATGTGTTAAGTCTTTGGCTTAGTGTTCTCAATCTGAACTATTTATTACTTTTACTCTGTTTATTAGAACAGTTTATTACTACTGCTTGTGGGGGAAATAAAATAAATGCTACTCTGTTTTATTGAAATTATCGACCTTTTAATGCAGGAATTGCTAAATTATATTCTTGGGACTCAAATTGCAGCTTGTTTATCTGGTATTGCTCCTACAGCCTCTCTTCCAATATGTTGTAAGAGAGACTGAAAAAGAGATGTGTCATTTAAKCAATGTTTAGATTTTTGGTTTTCAGGCTCTCTTTGAGTAAATGACCTTGAAGTAGATCTAGAACTACATACACAGATGTAGTCAGTTGGGGATTCATAAGTCAAGCCAACCATTTGGGTTCTATATGTGGGATCAGAGAGCTGGAGAGTTTGTGGTAGTTTCTACAGAGTTTGACAGGCTTTGGGGTGTGCTGCATGAGCTTTGTGTGGGGCAGACACTGTATTTGAGTCACAGGCAGTCTCACTGGGTCAGGATGGCAAAGATGAAGTATATTGTCCTTCAAGTTGAGTGAGCTGTGATAAAGGCCTGAAGAGCTAGGRTTTGATACCCTAGCTAGGGGATYGGGCTCTTTGATACCCTAGCTAGGGGATTGGGCTCTTCACCATGAGTGCACGTTTGATGACATAAAACTGGTGACAGGAATTCTATTTTGGGGAAACTGTTATAATTGCACTTAAAAGATGCATTATTCTGGCATATTAAAAACCTGAAAGATACTTCCGCAACAGTAGCAAACTTTTTGTGTTCCATGTTTGCTTTCTGATTTTAAGCAGATATTCTCAACAATCTATGGTTACTGTTGTCTGGGGATCTCGTTTTGGTTTTATTAATGGAGGAKATTGTGGCTGGTTAGAAGCCCTGTTAAAAGAATTGCATGATACAGTCAGCTTTTCTGAGCTGGCAGTTCCATAATGTAATTGAGCCAGGGAGAGAAGACGGACCCTTCTGCTTAATGAGCCTTGTCCCACTCAACTGATTCCTCTCCTGTCTCATGTGTCTCTTGGTACTTGGTTCAATAAAAGGTACTGTGCAATATAAACAATCATTTAGTAGCATAAAGATGAAGAGTCTTCATCCAGGTGCCATTTCCTATGTGAAAACATAGCAGATGAATAATTAAACTAATGACTGTGCTATATCTAGAGTGTTTGTCCATTTTGATGATGTTTTCATTTTGTTTAGAATCTTCAGCTTGATGAAGAAGCCCAATACCAAAATGCAGTTCAAGAATCCTGTCATGTGAACTTTTAAAGTAGAGCCCCCTACATCTTCATACTTGATTATCAGAGAGAAAAATTTGTTCTGTTTTCGATCTGACATGTATATTAATAAAAACATTCAGTAACYGGTTTTTGGGCTAAGCTTCTTTACATACTCATAAGGACTTCTGTAAATGATTTTGCTGAAACTCAAGCTTGACAGCTTTACTGAGATGTGCCCCTATGGAATTAGGGACATTTTTGGAACTTCTGTTGTCTTGATTTTCTGTAACTTTTACTACTCCGTTAATTACATGTTCATATGATTAATGTAAGATGTTGTAATTCACCAAAACCAACTTTAAAAGTATGTTTAGAAAGACATGCAAGGATGTTCTGTTGCACTGTTGGGTTTCTTCAAGTTCAGCTGTCAGAAGGTATCTTAYGTGTTAACTTATTTTTTTTTCTCTTTCTGCCAAGGGCAGGCATTTGTCCTGCCAAGAACTAATTTTATTTTGATGTTGGGATTTGTTTTTTACCATTGCTATGTGACTGAAAATAACGACAGCTCAAAATACTAAAATATTTCTTTTCTGTAGATGAACAATGCAGAGCAGGGCTTTTTTCACCTTTCATTGAGAAAGAATGATGCCATTGCCTAGAAGTAATTACATCTATTTTTTCCYCTTTGAGAGCATAACTAAAATAGGATGCTTGCTTACTAATGTGATGAGTGAGGAGTATTTATTCTCTGTACTACCAACTCCTAAGGAAGATTACATATTTTCTGAGAAATTCAAGATCACATGTAAAAGCTAGACTTTTTTGTCTTATGACTGTGACCAGATTTTGTTGGAGTTTTTAAAGAACTTTGGGTTTTACATTTGGAATTGAAGKTTTTTTGTGTCTTGTCGTACATGAAAGTCTGTGTAGCTAAATAACTAACTGGCTTCACACCTACCAAAACTTTTATTTGGTAAATTAAAACTTGTACATCTCTTGCATCCAAAGCCTCAAAAAACAGTTGAGAAGAAAAAAAATCTTACTTTAAAATAGTTACCAGCCTATTTTGAGAGTTCCTGTTTTAGATTTCCACCTTGCTAGCAAGAGCATCATTAAAATTTGAGAAAGTAGTAATAATGCAATTTTGATTTTAAAGAAGATCCATTTGAAAAACTTCAGGATCTTTTATTTAATATTAAAATGGAGAAGGGGAAAGAAGGCTGCACAGCATATGTTTTGGAGCTTTAAATGGTGTTTTCAGCATACACCTGTTAGGACAGRCTGCATCCTGCATTGCCATCACCCATTGTCATGTGGTGGAAAATATCCCCAGTAATTTTCTTAGTCTAGTTGGTGATTTATGCGTAGTAATATCAGTTGTGCAACCAAAGTACAATCTGCTTCTTGTGCCCTGCCTCCCTGTTCCTCTCCAAGCAGGTTTTGATTATTCTTTAAATTCTGGGGTATTTCATATTCCAAAACTGTTAAGGTTGAAATGCCTCATTTTACAATGTAACATGTTTCCGAACTGAAAGTTCTAATTTATTGAGTGTTGGAACCACTATACATTGTAACTTGACTTTTCTATCAGAATTTTTTTGTAAGTGCAAAACGTGACAGAAGGCATTGCTGGCTAAAATACAGAGAAAGTTGTCTATTTCAGAAATAGTTGTATATTTCCAAAGCCTTGTCTGAAGGTTATATCCTTTTTATAACAACATTTCTTGCATTTTGTTACCATCTCACTACAGTATTTTGACAGCAGACCACACACGGAACTTATATTCCAACTTCCCTACTTGCCCCCATACTCTTGTCTGTGTGTTCTCACTTGTGTGTCAGCTCTACTGCTTGTGTGACCTCATACTGATTTGGAGTGGTTTACTGAGCCAAAAGAAAAAAATTTAGATTTTTACTTTGCTCTGTAAAGCCAGCTGTGAAGCAGTGCCCTTACACAGAAAGGAACTTCAAGGTATCTGACGCTGAAGTTTTACCTTTTTAAAAAAAACCACATACTATGGTGATTTACTACTGCATACATTTCCTAAGGAGTTTAACAGTTACATGTAAGTTTAGTTAACTTTTTTAGATTCAATAAAATGTTTCTATGATCTGGCAATAAAATGCCTATAGCCAATACAGATTCTGAATGCCTCATGGACACTGGAACTAGTTCTTTCTATTACTTGAATATATCTTGAGAATTTAAAATGAAATTACATCTATTTTAAAACTCTGGGAAACAATTTTTTCTATAGCAATAATTAGTTGTCACAATGCATAGTTGCTGAGCATTTTAGTCATGTTTAAGTGTTAAGAGAATACACATTTTAAAGCTAAAAATGTGTATTAATGCAATACAAAAAAACCCTTTCAAAATGTTTATCCTCCTTATTTAAAATCTGTATTGGCAGGTGCTGCCTTGCTTAAGATTTTGTACTTTTAATATGAAGAGATTGCATCCAATACATTCACTAGGTAAGCGTTTAATGAAAGTGAAACTATTTAAATATGTTGCTGCTGGTCATGATCTTTCTCACTGAAACTCAGACATGCACAAAAAGCTGTGTATTTGATTGGTAATGCTCAAAACATGGAATCTTTACTAGAAGATTGCTTCTTAACAATGTTTTCATGTTCATGTTGCATTATGTATGGTTTCAATATGTTATGTTTTAATTGTACCTTCTGGTTTTTCTCTTATTAAAGTATTTTATTTTCTWTTTGTCTTTTCATTGCATAATAAAGATGATCAATTTCCTTGGTGCTACTTCTTCCTTTTTAGATGCTTTCTAAAACTTAAATATGTGGTCAGTTGTGTGTCTACTCACTTTGAATTTTTTGAATTCAAATGAATTTTTAGAATTGAGCTGCTGGAATGATGAGATGTCACTGATGATGCATCTATGAGCTGACAATTTACCTTATATCTTATTTTGGATGTTTCCAGCAAGCAGAAAGAATGATAGGTTGGCCAAAGTCTACTTCATGCATCTTTTCTTGCGTTCATRTTTGTATGCTGCTGTCTCATGCAATGTTAATAGAGAAATAACATCCTAAAAGGAGAGGGAAAGGGGTTTGTAACACTTGGCATCATTTGCAAACCTTGTTATTTAAAGGTAGTTTTTCTTAGAAGATTTAATGCTTTTCTGAGGAAAGAATTGCCAGTAAGTTGGGGCTGGTTGCAAGTTTTAACCAGCAAGGTGGCAGCTAGATGGTTTATCCTTCTGCCCTTTGTTCTTGCGCTGAGAAAACCTTTGGTTATTTCTTGTGCTTTTGCATTCTAAGAACACACAGATGATAATACAGTAATAAAATTGTTATTCTGAATGGCAGAAATGTAACAAAGTTACGTAAATTCCCTTTTTGTTAATTTATTCTTTCCCCATATAATCTAATTTTCTGATCTCTAAGTAAACCACTATATCTTCTGAATCTGTTTATAAGCCCTTTGTTAGAGATTTCATTTGATTTGATTTGATTACAGCAATTCATATTTCAGTACTTAGAGAGAATGCATGTGATGTGTTTAATTCTCATTGGCAGTATCTTGGTTATAGGATACTTGAGCTCTGTAAAACTTCCCTTTGTTCTCTAGTCTGGGAGAGGAGGATTTTTGTGCACTCAGCTCATCTTCTGACAGGTAGTTGGGGCTAAAAGGCTTTCTGTGTTTGGGAAGCATTCCTGGATCTCTCTTTTTTAGATTTGACTTTTGGATCTGGTGAGGTTTGAACAAGTGTCTGTGAGGACACCACTATAAAAGAGTGAATAGTTTATTTTTTAACATCCTTTGTTTTATGCAGAAACAGACACACCATAAACACTGTTAGGGGATGGGACAGTGTTTGCTGGACATGGGAAAATGCGCATTTGTGAAATGACTGCAGAACTTGGCATCCAAGGCTGCCTTACTGCAAGACAGAAGAGCTACAAGAGTATCTGACAAAGGCATCTTCAGATTTCTTTCAGAATTGGAGAAATAAGCAATGAAAGGGCACAAAACCTGCACAGTCTGTTCTCTATACACTGTCCATTTGCTCCAGAATTTAGGTTTCTTTCCTGTTGTGGCTGTATTTGAAAAATTCTGGAGGAGACAAAAAACATGTAGGATACAAAATTCAGGGTGCCTGCAATGAGAAGGTATTTCAATAATGTTAAAACTTCCACTTCTAGTGAATTGCCAGACTCTTAYTACAGTCAAAGCATGGGGATTTTTTTGTCTCATGAGCAGAGTAAATCTGTACTGTTTCTTACATTTTTCAAACTCCTGGTCTGCTTTGGGAAGGACCAATTTTCACCTCTTCATTTTCTAGCTCTAACCAGCCTCATTCTATCTGTAACATCTTTGTGGACATGATCATGAAAGAGCTAACAAAGTGAATTTTATCTTTATTCCCTCACCACACCTCACACTGTTAGGAAATTGAGGGAGAGGAGGGAGGAAGGGAGGAAGGGAGGGAGGAGTCATCACTCCCAAAAACATTTCATTCTATTTCAAATCTGTACTTCAAGTACTCTATGCATTTAGAGGCATTCTCCAGTTCTGTGAAGCTGTAGGTTATTTCCTAGGGCTTAGAGASAGAATACTGTTTTTATGAACTTGCTCAATCTCATGAGAATGTGTAGTCACTGAGAAAAGGGCTTCTCACTTTTACATTCTTTCTTTGCTGTTGTGTTTCTGTGTCTCATTTTTTCATAGAATGGCTTGGGTTGGAATSAACCATAAAGATGATTTCATTCCAACCCCATGCTGTGGGCAGGGACACCTTCCAYTGGACCAGGTTGCTCAGAGCCCCATCCAGCCTGGCCTTGAACACTTCCAGAGATGGGGCATCCACAGCTTTTTTTGGGTACAGCTGTTCCAGTGTCTCACCACCTGTTTCCCTCTATGTGCATTTCCCTACAGCAGTTCCCATAAATGTACACCATGTGTTTCCCTCCCACTMCCTTTTCTGTCTTTTAAAGTAGTCAGCAATTAAATTGCCACGATTATATTACTTGGCTACTAATTATTGTTTCATATTCTGTATGTTATATAAGCTCCTCTGGCTGTGCCCTTAATATGGGGCTGGTGTGGGCCTCAGGGGTAAATACAGTAACTAAGAAGCTTAGCACCAATAATTTCCAGATTYCTCCAGACATGTTTACTTCTCTGGCTAGAGGAGTTTATGTTTCTCAGAAGTGTTTGCGCTTGGAAAGAGTCTGAAAGTCTTACCAGATAGATTTTATTGCTTTAAAATACATTTTAAAGTGTTTASTTTGTTGTTTTCTGTAGGGGAAGGATCTGGTTTTGGCTTGGAGAGATTAGGATGAGGCTGAAAATTAAAAGCTTTTCACAAAGACCAGTTCTTTGATGGTAATAGCACTCGTTTTTCCCCCMAAAAAACCTTGCATTAGGTTCTCTGGTTTTGCAGGTATGGACAGAAGAGCGTGGGATGTTTTTTCTCCAGGTTAACTGCTGGCTCTAGTGCCATAGAAGGTAGGATTCATGAGCCGCCTTAGTTGTGAGACTGATCAAACTTGAGCAGTTTCTTTTAAGAGTTTTTCTTTCATAATTCAAACCACCAGAGGGCACTGAATATTTTTGGGTATTCTCTAAATAAGAATTTAAGGGTGTTAATTCAATAAGTAGTCGTATTCCAAAATGCTATCAGATATGGAATTTTTCTCCAGATGTCGAGAAAATTTAATTAATCTTTTACAGATTTTTTGGGGGTGAAGAGACTGGCTGGGGTCATTCCATTCCAAGAATATTTGCACTTACTTTAACATCTTGAAATTACAGATTTCCTTACATTGCTTTATGATCTCTGGCAAGTAAGCAGTGTTTCCCCCGGACTCGTCTCTGGGAAGAATGGAGTGCTCCCCTGTTCACGAGTGAGCATAAAATGTGACAAATGGCAAACGCCATTTACTTGCGAGACYTTTCCCTGCCCAAGGGCGTTCTCCGGAGGGTTCTCGGGCTCTTGCTGTAGTGCAGGCAGGAGGCACACGGGGGCAGCTGAGGACTGATGCATTCTGTGACAGTGACAGTGACAGGGGGTTAGCGCTGGCTCCTGGCTCCTTGCTTTGTGAGACTGCTCGCATGTCACCGCCCTCGCTAATTCCGTCTGCCGCGGTGCTCAGGTCCGCTAGTGCCCCGTCCCGGTGTGCTGCATTGTCCCTCCGAAGCATTCCCCATAGTTTGGGGGTGACACAGTCCTCCGGTGCGAAGAGAGGAATTCTCCCAGCGATGGCTTATACTCCCTCGCCTGAGAAGGAACTGAGTGTCCTTGCAGTGTGCTCTTGCTGTGGCATGACAGTGCCCAGCCACAGCCACTTTAGTTGCTGCCTATCAGGGACAGTTTGTTTCACACCGAAATCTGATTCATATTTGCCGTGAAATGTGTTTGTGTAAAAACATGTCAGACATGATTCAGATCCCTGGGAAAGTGAGACAGATGTGATCCCGTATGAGTAGTTACTTATGAAATACTGTTTTCTTACACGTACAAAAAATAATGGTTAAAGTATGACTGAAGTGGCAGTGGGCAGGGAGGTGTGTAATGTTATACCCAAGCTTCTGCCATTTGCTTTTTAACCTTGCTTTTTAATTTACCTGTRGCTAAGCAGTGTGAGGAAGCTGAAGGTCTGCTTCACTTTTGTGATAAACTCTTAAGGAAAGCAAACACATTGTTTGCTCCTCTGCAAGCGGTTGGAACACTTGTATTTATATATGGTGTAATTTCCACTTTTTTACATTACATCCCACGTGACACTTGCTAGGTTTGTAAACACTGGAGCTTTCTAACTTTAAATATTTAGGTATTCAACTTGTAACATTCTGGGTTTGATCCAGCGTCTGTTATATTGCAGGTTTATCTGACAACTCTTATCTTGATTGGTGCTTTTGCCTCATCGGTCAAGGAGATAACACTGCAATAGTAGTGAGAGATTAACGGGAAAAGTGAACCTAATTTGTGCAAGATAATGCAGGAAGCTTGAGACAGAGCAAGGGACGATGCACTATCTGAGAGTATAGACCATCTGAGTATCTTCCTGCTCTTGCATTTGACCTATAAGCACTGCTCTAAGTGGGGTACATAATGTTCCTCAAACCAGCACTTTTCTYGTAATGAATTCTTATCACTTGAAGCTGACGCTGAAACTTGTGATCAGACAGGTTCCATCCAAATGTCAACGAGCAATTGTGAATCACCATTGTTTTCCGAGCGATATACAGATGGCAAAATTATCAAAGCATTTCTGTTGCTTTACAGAAGATTAACAAAACTWTTCAAATATGGAACCACCTACCAAAATTTCTAGAAAATCACTGTATGTATGGAGCTAATCATACTTGGRTTTATGGTTCTCAGTAGTTAGCTGATACTGCGTTTTGAAATTAAGTTCCTTTCATTCTTGCCCTTCTCCACTCATTTWTCCTAATCTCTCTACCCCTATTATGGTCTCTTCCCAGATTATTACCCACAGATGTAGCTTTACAAAAAGAATAAACCAGGTGTTGCTTCCCATCTGCATTGGACGATGCCTGATGAATGTTCCTTCTTCTGCAGCCAGGCAGGGGAAAAGCACTGCAGTATCTTTATTACTGTGCTGTGATAGAGCCCACAGGCAACCGTGACACGAGGGGAAGGAATGATGACACAGTGCCTGTCCCGGGGAATGTGCAGTCTCCGCTGGCATGTTCTCCATCTGTCTGGAGCTTGCAAAGTGAGCTCAGCAGGAGATCCAGGCACTCACTTGCAATAGATCTGCAG